GAATCAATATTAATTAATAAATTGAAATACTAATAATAATTAACATTAACAGGGATTATAATTGAAAAAAGTAGTAAAAAGCTATTAAATCACTACTCTAACTAACGTTTCAAAAGCTAGCTTACATATATATAGAGAGAGGGAGAGAGAGATGAGCGATCAAATGAAAATCATCCTCATTTGTACAAACCGTACAAACCATCTTCATACGTCGATTTCATTGTTTAATCTTATAAAAAAAAATTCATGAAATTGTTTAATCTTGTGAAATTGTTTCATATAATACTTTTTTTAATGAATTTGTTTCATATATGATTATGAAATTGTTTCATATATGATTATGAAATTATTTCATATAATATTTAATGAAATTTTAATAAAACTGTTTCATGTATTTTTCTATAATTAAAATAATAAAGATGATAATATCCATGATTAACATCTTCCACAATAAAAAAATGATTAATCAACCTCTCATAATTACAAAAAAATGAACAAAATAAAAAATTATGATTGATTGAATATGGTTTTCACGGTTTATACAAATTGGGTGGTTTTTATTTGAACGTTCCTATATATATATATATATATATATATATATATATATCCAAACATGTATTAAAATAAGATAAATTATGTTTACCAAACAATACCTCAATGAGAAAGACGACTCTTACATGCCATTGCTTACCACGTTTGTGTTGGTAAACGGCCTGTTGGATGTTACTTGTAAAAACAATTGGCAGCAAGAATATTAATCACCAAAAAAATACTAAATTCTACATTAAACTGCTCCAACATTCCATAGAATATATACACTCACTTCTAGTGGAGAAAGAAAGATATAGCAGTCAGATATAAGACGACGACGACGACTACGACTACGACTACTAGTATCAAGGCAGCACCAAGACGAGCCCAACCCATCGATGCTTCTGTTCTTCATGTCAACCACATTAGTCGGGCCTTTCCAATCACAAAATCTATGGGAACAAAATCAAGCAACATAAACAACCAATTTTGATGCAAAACCAAATCAAAAACCACAAAAGAAGCAAAATAAACCGATTGCCATGCTACTATATCTTTCCTTTCATCTCTGAAATTAGTACAATGCGGACTTGCTTTTTCCCATCGTGTCCCTATATATATCCGTGTATCTTCTTTGCAATGTCGAAACCCAGATTCCAACGAAATCTTCACTTTCAAACGACACTGCCATTATAGAATATACTTATGGAGACGGTTTCCAATCAAACGGTAGATTATTGAATCCATTAACAGCTCCAAGACCATTAAGAAGCAATTGGCTCCCTATGTCCTGCTGCTGCTGCTGTTGCTGTTGTTGCTGTTGTTGATGATGATTCAACATTGCAACCCTTCCGTTCATACTCAACGAATTATGACCCCCCATCGCCGCTCGCATTCCATTCACCATACCCATTTGCCCACCACTTGTAATCATATTGTTCCCAGTCCCATTTCCGACAACACCCGGACTACTACTATTGCCTCCTCCCTGAATCAAATCATTAGCATTTTTCATTTCGATTCCCACTGAACCAACACCCCCATTGCCTCCAAGTTGGGAAGACATCATCATTTCCTGTATTATTTTCTGAACGGAGCTTTGAGAGTCATTCGCATCTGCATCACTAGAAAGAGTCGGCTGCGGCATCGATGAAATATTTGGGGAGGTAGCAGAATTCAAGGGTGCTCCTGAACCTTGAGGGAGATTGTTAGATAAGGATGGAGTTGGTGATTGGAAAGGAGATGGGTTAGGGTGCGGTTGTGTACTCGAGGATCCAGGGGAAGGAATCTGAATGCCATAGGGACCATTTGTATTACTAAGTGAACTTTGCTGTCTAGAGTTCTGGTGCAGCAGCCCATCGATGGTAATATTGGAACAGTTATTTACACTAGGCATGCTATTAGTGGATGCAATTTGCATAGCAGATGTTTCGTTGTTTGATGTACTTTGAACCACTGTTTGCAGCTGCTGTGGTTTTTGCTGTTCTTCAGGTTGACTATGAAACCCTGATGTCGAAGATGTCCTCCGTGGAAATTTTGCCAAGCTCTCTGTGAAGGTAAAAAAAAACAAATGAGAGATTTAATAACAGCACCTTATTGACGGCTTTGGATGCACTAATCAGAAATAATAATTCAACAAAGCAACCACTTGCAATCATACCATATAGGAAACTAATTTCTTCGTCCCAAAGTAAGTCCACGTTTCTATTTTTAGTCTGTCCTAAAATAAGTGTCTACTCTCCAATTTTATCCTTAATTATGAGATGAGAAATTCTTTACTTCCTCATCCACAAGGGTAAAATTGGCATTCAGTTACTTAAAAAGTATAAAGATCACATATATCTAGAACTCTGCCATTTTCATTGTGAAACGTTTATTTTGGGACAGAGGGAGTACTAAAGAGTAGATCCAGAAATTGTAATGAAATATAGATACCAAGAATCTACAACATGAAGTGATTCAAAAATTGTCATCAAAAGCTGAAAGATTGAATTATATTATAGATTTGAGAAAATAGTTCCGACTCTATCAATCAGACCAATGGGAAAGAAAGCTGAAAATGGAACCGAGGCCTAACCACTGAAATTAGGGATCATCACCTAAAGTACTCCCTAGTTATCTTAAATGTCTGGGAAAAATAATAGATTTGTAATGAACCAAGATAAACTGTTTTAACTATCCGCATTTTTGTGCAAGGAAGATTTGTCCCTTCAAGAGGCTTGTGTTAAGAAGCTGCTTCATTTAGGAGAGCTCACGGTGTGGACACCTCAGTATTTTCCCTATATATGTTAATCTCAGTTTAACTTTATTTAAAATTAATTCTCAGAGTGATACAATAATTGATACTTCTAGGGATGAGAGGAATCTCATGCATCTTTTGGTGATTTGGTCGTTGCAATTATTGATGTCAATAGATAAACAGTGAAATTGCACCGAGTAACACTAGGTCAAATGGGCAGGGAAAACTACGCTTGAGCACATCCTAAACCAATCCAAATGATCTTAGGGGGCGTTTGGTTTGATGGAATGGTTTTGAGAGATTTGGATTTCGTGGAAGGATTTGGAATTAGAGGGATTTGGATACGGAACGATTTGGAATCTTTCGTGTGTTTGGTTTGTAGGATTTGGAATGGAATTTCATTCTTTATCAATAATTTGTAATAACAAATTATAAATAATTATAAAAATAATTAAATTACCTTTTTATTAATTGTTATTAGAAGACATACTTTTAACACATTTTTAAACAGTATTGTATACAAATCCTACATAATCCCGTGAAATCCCAACCACCACCTTGGGATTTCAAAATCATATGTTTGAGGGATTTCAAGAAATCCTAGGATTTCAAATTCGAGCAATCCTGCAAACCAAACATGGGACTGGAATGAATTTGAATTTCAAATCCCCTCAAATCATTTCCATTCCTACAAACTAAACGGACCCTCAGTATATTCCACATAGAGGTATGGATCAGGGAGGGAAGAGTAGGATGTATGCAGACCTTACCTTTACCCCAAAGGGTAGAGAGGCTGTTTCCGTGACTTGATCGCATCCTAAACTAAAAGTCTAGAATTGCATGACTAAGGGTCCTTGTACCCAGCTCTTACCCGATAAGCGCTTATCTGTAAATGTCAACACTTTAACCTTAACTTACCGTGTAAGATTTTAGTCTATTAAACGACATCGTATGCAACATTTACCCGGTAAGCACTTACTGGCTAAGAGTCATTACTCTTACTTACCGAGTAAGACTCACAGTCCTTATCATTGCTCTTACCGGGTAAGATTCTCGGTCCTTGTCATATTCACCCGATAGGGTAAGGTGACCAGGTAAGCACCTACCGGGTAGGCATTTAGTAAACGACCCCAAGGACTTGATATGTTGCTAGAAATAGTAAACCAAATTTACTGGTGGCGGAAGATCTTGTTCAGATTCCTTATTCTAACATTTGAGATATGAAAGGGATGGTCTGAGTAACACTCCTAACTCAATAGTATTTCCATAATGCAAGTGTCTCCTTTCTATTGGAAGAGTTGATGGTGAAGAATAAGCCATATCAAATAAAAGTATAATATAACATTTAACGAGTGAAAGAACAAATAATTGAATAACCAGACTGTACGAGGTCCGAACATGTGACCATTCACATATTCCAACCAATCTCTTCTACTTCTCTAGACCATTGAGAGGGCGAATGATTTGGTCTCCCGAACCATATGGTAATCTGCTACTTTGCAACCCAATAGTTATTTTTTGTGCATGCACTCACACACACACACACACTTTATTTTTCATTTGAAAAATAAAAACAAACTATATTATAATATAATATTTTAGGATAATATTATTCCATGCAAATACTACTAAAATAATATTCTTTTGATACATTATATATCTAAAACAATTATAATTTTATGAATTCAAAAGGACCAAGAGTAGATTTTGATAAATATATGTGCTATCTAAAACTCTTAAATTTCAAGAGCACAACAGCTACGAAGCATTAAGTACAAATCACTAATGCATGAAGAGCTTTGGTTTGTTGAAAACTTGACACGAAGCATGTCCCCTATAGGTAGAACAACAAAGGATGGAGTGGGCTCCATGCCTATAAAAGGGGTCCAAGGCCTTGGTTTCACAGCACCCCCATCAAATGCATTTATAAGTATTTGATTTTTTTTCTTGTTCTCTTCTTATAACACGTAGAAATATGATTAAAATCTTGGAGAGTGTTGGTGTAATTAGGGGTGGCTTGAAAGATTAGTCTACTTGATTGTAATAATATATCCATAGTGAATTTTCTCTAGGAGTCCTGTGCTTCCAAAATAAATCCCAACAATCTTAGCATATTTAGCCATTTATGTACATATGTGTATGATTACATGTTATTCTAATTTCTATTTTGTTCAAACATAAATTTTGGATTTTCATTTTTAATGAGGAATTGCATTAATTTTCCATCTACAATTTACAGTAAAATTTTACATCCTGTCTTATGACAAGGGTACTCAACTAGTTTGATAAGTAAGACTTCAATTATGTTAATGTAATCTATTTTTACGTATAACTTTGGGAATTTCTATTATAATCAATTTTTTGGAAGTAAATAAATCCATGCAACACAAGGGTGAAAAGCTATTTAGCAATTGTGCAATACAAGTAGTGACTTGAGAAAGCATTGGCTTTGTTTGAGTCGCCTTGGAGATTTGTATAATACACGTACATTTCATTTGTAGTTTGCATCGTACGAGTATAGTTGATAAACAATCAATTAGCATATTCCTTGATGTTTGTTGTTTAAATGGATATCATCTAGACGGTCCTAATCAACCCAAGTAGTTGATCCATTTAAATAGATCAATTTATTGAGTCATTTATTAGATTGTTGCTAATCTTTATCATATGATCTATCCATTGACAGGCCTACTCTTAAACGGTCTTTATCTCTCTTCCTTTGCTGCTTCGTTTTTCTTTTCTTTAACTATGACCTAACCCTTAACATATCACACAACAGTTGATCTAAGAATGTCCAGAAAGTTTTCTAAACTTGAACCACCTTGATGATAAGGGGGGAATGTAGTCAATGACACAGAATTTCACTAAAATATAGAACAATTACTGACAACTCTAATAAACCCTAGGGGACCTCAGCATTTTATAGCATAGTGTTTAAGAGACATAAAAAGCAAGTTGAACAAGTTTACCCATAGGCCCAGTCCTCGTTTCTCGGCTGTAATCGATCAAATCCTTCATACTATTAACCACTTCTGATATCTGCAGAGACAGCCAGCAAAATATCATGTTGCGTAACCAAGTAGCAAAAACAAATTAAAAATTAGAACTTACAAACTAATAATCAACAATTCAGATATCATATGTACAAACTGCTTCATTCTATGAAGATGGAATCACAGAACAATGAGGAGGAACTTTTCACTTGCAGATAAAATGTGATACAACCGAGTCACCCCTACTCATTGAAGAATGAGAGAAGAAAAACAAATAGAAGGGTACGATTTCAGTCTTATCCAACATTTGAAAAGGATTCAAACATATCCAAACGATATATGGAGATTATAAGTTTGGTAATCTCTACATATTGTTAATTTATTGTTTACTTTCTGTTTTGGGTTCCTATGGACATATGTAAAAGATAAAAAGAACAACTATATAATACGAAAAAAATATCAATATTTTCAGTTTTACATCACTGAAGAAAACATAGTGATTGGCGCATCGAGGTTCTCTGGATTTGCAAGGGTTGGTGTAATGAACTAAAGAAAGAGTTCCATTGTATGATGAGCCTAAATGCTTCTCCATATTGTGGTCAAGCGATCTACCCCCTCCCCACCCGTTTCTTATATATGTAAAGTTAATTAGGCATCTCCTGTGATCTGCCACGTCTTTGAAAGCTCTTTGACTTTAATAAATGCCACTCGAATGACAAAAGCGTCACATGTAATTCACGGTCTTTAATAGGTAACATATTCCTTAAACACACCAAAAAAGTAAAACAAAAACTATTGGTTAGATTGTGCAAGTATGATGATATTGTGAAAATATTGTTGTACAGGTATTTGGTATATTACAATAATATTTCTGCATTTAAGACTACATTGATTCACCTATACATAAGTGGTGAGTTCCCTAAAAACAAAAACCCCAAAAAAACTAATGGTACACTGTGCAAGTATGGCAATATTGGAGTAACTAATTGACCACACCGATTCCACCTGACATGTGTTTTTATGTTCCTAGGTTCACAGAGTTTTAATAGGTAAAATGGCAAAAATAAGGACTTATCCATCACTTCGACCTCATGCTACTCATTTTGAGCAACAGAAAGTGTCAATCCCTTCTTTTCAAGACTACCATGGTGCTTGTAAAGGAGATCAATAATTACGTGCTTGCAACGCGATCAAGGATGATGACGTTTACGGTGAAAATGTTTCTTCTCTATCTATACTAGTAACTGATCAACATCTAAATCTCTTTCATTCAATCACATGAATTTGATCTTGCATTGAAATATCAAACATGACGTGCAACTGAATTGAATTTGACCAAAGACACAAGGAGCATGACATTTTCTCCTGGTGATTATGGTTGTACGTTCATACGCTGTGATCGCAAGTAAGGGAGAGCACGTTTGCTCGTAACTAATATAGGTTCATATCCCAAGTGGAATCCCTCTCTATCAAACAAAACCAAATGAAGCTTCTTGTATTTTATCGTGTTGCTTGCTTGGTTGCTTATTTAGTTAAATCATAACCAGTCTACGTATTACCTCACTCTAAATCATTTTCAAAATAACTTTGTTCCTGTTAAGATAATTCACTTACACTTGTTAGAAGTAGTAGATTTTTGAAAATACATTTTTAGCAGATTTCATCAAGCATTACATGTCAAGCAAATGAAACTAAAACGCGTCTAATCATTATAGTATATGGCATGCATCAACAGATACCTATGTTGGAAACCTTCTCCTCAACCAAGCACCAGCAAATTACAAAAGAAGATTACCTGAAGACACCGGACATATCTCTTCGTATATCCTAAATCATTAACTAACGGTACATCCAATGCTTTTGCCAACTGACGAGCTGAATCAACAAACCTGCAACGTAAATTAAAATCTTGACTCTGCCAAAAAGATTTTAAAATGTGTTTAATGCATACATATAGCAAGGTCATCACCAACACTATGATTGTTTCTTTAAATCCTTGTCAGCCATGTGATATTCATTTACTAATTAATTTGATGTGGTTTATTGGTTGGGCATGCACTTAATTAAGACCTTTCTCTTTTGTATTAATCAGTACTAACCCCAATCTCATGATTCTTTAAGCAACTTAATGTTTCGGTACATCACCTGTGACTAATACTTACTTGCTTATATTTTACTCCTTGTCAATCCATATACCTATTCAAGCAATAATGTGATTATAGCATCTCTCATTCCTATCTCTTTTGCCTGTTTGTAAGGGCCTGTTCAACATCTTATGAGTCATAGTGAGTAGACTCCACTAACCACCAAAAACAACTCGGTGGAGATTGAATTAATATATCAAGTATATATTTTACCCAGGGTTCCATCCGCTCTACCCAAAAAAAGTAAGGGAAGTGTGTACATAATGGGTAAAAAAGAATGTTTAATAAGAGGGTATGACATTACATCAGTTATTTTGAAGTAAAAATCTTAAAAGCTGTAACATCAATTATGCTTATTGAATAGTATATAGATTGGTTATAAGAGGTAATATACCAAAACACCTTATCACCAACTACATTAAATTCTGCAGTTACAGTTCAATACAATCCAGCCTATTATATGAAGCCTTTGATTGGCTATGGTTTTTTCCTGTCTTTGCATTTATGGTTTTAAGAAAGTGTAAACACGACTTCAAAAAATATAGACAATGAACTTTCAGAAAACCAAAATCAATTTACAGAATTTTGTCTATAAAATATATGCTTAATTTGAAGCTTCACGGTCCAAAAATTGGTTAGAGAAAATGCGTATGTTGACTGTTTGACGGTAATGTGGTTGGGGCTTCAAACTGAATAAAACACAATTTCTCATTTTCTTCTTGAAAGTTCAAGTTATCTTTGAAAATACAAGTCTACCCACGTTCTGATTTGTTGTCAAATAAAACTCATGAGACTGCAAATAGAAAGAGAAAAAAGGAACTTAGTTTGTGTGTAGCATTTAGACAGACAATTATGTAACGTCAGAAAAACATAAAATGACATGACATGAAAACCAGCAAAATATTCAAGTATATAACTGAGTCTGGGACCTACATATTACAATTGTTCTGCAATTCTGGTACAGATAAGCTTGATGAAGCACTTTGAGTTGAAGCCTGGTATTTCTGAGCTGCATTACCTAGTTGACTAACCTGCAAAAGAAAATCAACAGCTCAGTAACTATCAAAAGATTTTTTATTTGTCGTATAAAAAATTTACAAATCTTGACCAATTACCAAACTGCATAGTTGATGAGAAGCATCTTAAGTACATGGATTAGCACAATGAACTTGTGATGAAGATCAATAGATAACAACTCGGATCAGATGATACATTTTCAGAATAAACACATAACCTAGCCTCACATAGGCTTCAAGACAGGGTCACGCATAGAAGACACTGTCAGAAATATGGAAATGCTGATTTGAAGATTTTCTAGTGGTGGCCGAGCTTCTACTACTAACATATGTAGAAATAAGCATATACATAGATGGCAAATTGCAGTCAGCTCCAAAGGTCAAAAGTGCCTGGAGGTACCAGGTTCAAATCCAAGGAGAAATAAAAATCCCCTTATGGCCACGGAGGTTCAAATGTGGTGACTCCAGGCTACCCGCAAAGCAGGTGTTCTCCCTGAGATTAGTCGGCTCGCATAGCGGGTTGGATATCCAGGTTAATCAAAAATAATGCAATCAGCTGTAAATAAATAGCCCTACCAATCTATCATAGTTCTCATACATAAACTTATAACCAAATTAAATCAAGGAAAGCACAGCCCTGAAACATGCTTTTAACCTATTATCTTGCCAATTAAAAGGAAGAAGAAAACCACCAAAATCATTCATGCTGAGTGCTTGATGAAGAATAAATAAACCATGAAAACAACGAATCTACATATGCCACAATCACAGTTTATGAACAATGATTAATAACAATGCCATCACAGAGAATGTAGATTGAACTAGCCTTGGATAAAAACAAATAATCAACCAAACCAGATGTATTTGCTACTCAGATCCAAATGAATCAATGGCTGTTCTAACTTAATGCTAGTCATTTCAAAACAAGTTTATTGTTAATAACCTGTGGTATCAGCAGTCTCCTAGGGATAAGCTCTTCATGACGCCGAGCACAGAACTCCCAAGAGCATATCTGCATGTTGCAGGAAAAGGGAGTTGGCAAATATATACCTCAAGCAATATCCACCTTTTAATAACAAGGATTGAAATCTAACCTTCAAATCTGCAGAAAAGACTATTCGTAGTTGGCCATCACGAACAACCCGCAGTTGCTCAAAAACACTCTCCTGTATGGCTTTTGCATAGTCCAGAACAATTTGACCTGAAGAATTCTGATATTCTCGGGGCATATCAACATACAAGAGCTCCTCCAAAGTACCACTTTCATATTTTATTTTGAAAAGCCTGGGCAGAACTTCAACAGTGGCCTCTGAACGTGAATTCATATATTAGATTAAAAAAATAAACAGAAAATAACAGAGCTTAATTTGGCCTCAAAAATGAAAATCCTGGAAACAATCTACATCTCTGTTTGAAAAGAACTCTATGAAATAGACATTGTAAAGCCTCGGGAATTTTGTACTGAGGCTCCCACCCCAGGTTAAAGCTAAATGGAAAAAGGTAATTCATCATTAGTCTTTCATGCATATCACACCACGTAACACCCCTAAGAAAGGGCGGCAACTTATAAATAGGACCCACTCATATAACATAAAAACAATTGTTTAGGGAACCTCACACGTAAATAGTACTTTGTTCTAAAATTTCAGCCTTGATACATCAGATCCATGTATATCCCAACCCCCCCCCCCCGGGGGACCCCACCTCCGGGTGGGACATGCTGGGTTTGTCGGGTCTGATTTTATGCATCAGATCAACAACCTTTTATGAAAATATATCAGCTCAATGAAAATGGTCGACCTGTAACTACCAATGGGCAAGACATGCAGAAAACATCTGGACTTGATCTCTTACATCCATAAAATTTCAGCAAAGAAAGTTTGGTATATGAAATGAATATATGACAAGCATGCATGTCCAAATCCATGAGGTTATGAATGTAAAGGAAAAAAATTGAGATGGAAAACGTAAAAGACTTACCAAAGCCACGGCCTGGCTTCTTATTGCATATTTCACAGTGCCATACGTCCTGCATGATTATAAACAAAGATAGCAATATATGACTTTGATGTTTAGCAGTGATAGGAAACAAAGAAACCATTATCGTTATTAAGTTATCTCTGAAACCAAAAATTGCTGAATTTATAGTCTGCCATAGTTGATATATAACTGGTAATTGAAATAGGCATTAGTAAAAAGATTGCAGGCATTACCAAAGTAAAACTAAAAATTCTCTCTAGCAACAAACCTGAGGAAAAACTCCTGCGGTATGGCGCCCATTACCATACAAAGAAACACACCATTTCTTCCTGGCATTAGGAGCAAAGTACTCAGCGACAAATTTTCTCCAAAACTCAATGTTGTTGTCCTGCAAAAGAAAAAAGCATGAACACCACCTCAGACGGTCCATAATATTTTATTCTTGCCATAGATTGTGCAACTCTTACTTCAGGCCTATGTTGTTGCTGATACATATAATGTGTCAGCCGTCTCGCACACATTCCTGGTTCATACACAGGTTTTGCAGGTGATCTCATTGATAAATTTTGTTGTTGAAACTGCGGTTGCAGCGAAGGCCGTTGCTGAGGAATACTCTTCAATAGTTGCTGTTGCTGCTGATGTTGTAGATGCAAGAATCTCTGTTGATTCAAAAGATTAATCTGTGCAGCAGAAGCCTGAGGAGATTGTCTGGACATGTGAAGGAATTGTTGCTGTTGTTGTTGTTGTTGTTGCTGTTGATGCAGAAACAATGACTGGTCAGAGTGTTGCTCCATCTTCACAGGCGGTAAGTTTCTCATGGCCTGAACCTGCTGTGTTTCCATTTTGACTGAACCAAGATTTCGCAAGGCTTGCATCTGTTGAGGATTTTGGCCGTGCTGGTCATTTGCCGCTTGTGGCTCCATTTTCACTTGTCCAATGCCGCCTAATCCACCTTGACTTGTTTGATATTGCTGCTGATGATGGTTATTGTTAGGGACAGAGTACTGCTGCAGAGACTGCTGGCTCTGTCGCAAGTTTGGAGATTCACGCTGTTGGCCCTGTTGTTGATCTGGCAATATCTGGTTGCCAGATGAATTTGAAAAATGCTGTCCTGGCACTTGACCTGGTGCATTTGAGTTTACCATATTTGATGGACCAAGGGACGAGGAAGGGGCATTAAAACCCATCCCATTCCCCATGCTTGACAATGGATCAGAGTCGGCCCCGTTATCGATCATACCCCTTAGGGAACTCGCAGAGCCAGACATCCCTGAGCCTGGCCCTCCATTACCATAAGACTGATGGAGGAGGGAAGATACATTTGGCACATTTCCAAGCATGTTCATGTTATTAAATTGAGTACGTGGTGAGACGAGGGAAGGAAATCCAGACTGAGAAGGCATAGAACCCCCTTGGCTACCCAATAAACCCGAATTTGATCGCAACAAGGAAGATGGAACAGACTGCGCACCAGCAAGTGGAGTGGGTGGCCCTGGAGGTACCATCTTCCCAAAAAAGAAAATAATGGCAGATCTTTTCTAAATAACAGGTGCAACCTAAAATGACATGAACCCACAAAAATTTGTGTCTAAGGATATAACACACTAAGATGGGCTATCAGACAGGTACAGCTTTATCACTCAAACCAGCAACCAATTGGCAGTTTGTAAGCACGCCTGAATCCTTATTGCGTACCAAAAGAAATGGAAAACCTTGACATCTGAGCTTATACTGTTGAGTGTTGCCAAACACGAGACAATTACCAAAAAACCTAAAACAAGCTTTGGCCTTGAACATCCTAGTGTTGTTTTAGCAGTTGGGAAGTACAAACCTCCAGCCAGTTCTCTCATTGATTTCTGCATAACTCGTCATTCTTGTAAATCAGTTAACATATCTATGCGTAGATACCAAAACATTCTTCCAGAAATACGAGTAGGCATTTGACAATATCCCACCTTCGACCTCTCAAAGTACCTGCTAACGCTTTCAATGCCGCTCTACACAAAACTATACTAGAAACTTAATCTTGACTCAAGCATAAACATCAAATCTTGAAACCTGAAGGAAAAAAAAACAAGAAACTTAATATTGACGATGAATAGAACAATAAGATAGCTAAGATAAGCTTTCATTTAAGAACCTAACCAGCTCAATAACGAAAATCTAACAGATAAAACAGAAACAGCAAAAAATAAAAACTAGAATAAAAAAAACTAAAACAAGTAATAACAAGCTTCATGAATCAAATGCAACTTAAAAGCAAGACCCAAAGAAAACAAAAAGTTGATTCACAACTGAATTGAGTGTGATTCACTAGGGTTACAATCAAAAACAGCTTACTTTTTTTCAGTTAAACAATCTAATAAATATAGAATAATAGTAAAAACACTGGAAAAACTAAAGAATCAGAAAACGCACCAGAGTAACGAATTCAATGGTGATGTAAATTCTTCTGCAGGACACAATTCTATAGCGTCACTTTTCTCTTATATTCTCCGTATGTGATACACATACAATATATACTCTTCTGTATGCAAACTATTAGGGTTTTTGGTTAGAACTTTAACCTTCTTCAGTGACAGGTCGTCTTCAATCTTCTCTTTCTGGAGAGATGAGAGGAAATTCCTGTTCTTCGCTGTAAGTTTAGAGAGAGAAAGAGGAGAGAGAGTGGTGTGTTCTCCTTGCGGACGTCAAAGTAGAATTGTATCCGATTGAATTTTCCTCATTCCATTCTTTAACTTTCTATTCTCTCTCCTCAAAGGAAGTCAAATCCACTTCTTCATGATGTATGGGAATTCTAATGTGTTATCATCATTCATCATGCATAATGCATCATGATGCATCATCATCCTATTTTATATGTGTATATGACTATTTTTCATGCCCATCTCTCCCTCATTTTATTTTTATTAGAAAGTACTTGTGCGGTATAATGAATATATTTTGATTTTATTGTTTCGTTTTGTATTTTAGGTTTATCAATGGTATAATGCGATTTTATGTGGTTTTGAGAAAAATAAAATATTTTTATTTTTGAATAAAATATAAATTTAAAGATATCATAAAATTTTGATAAAAATAAACAATATTAATATCAAATTAACTATTTAAAAGTTCTATTTTTTATGTAAGTTTTTTTAATTCAATTTTTTTTATAATTTAATTGAATTTTAAAAATAAACTAATTTATTTTTGGTTTAATAAAATAATTTTTTAAAATAATAATTAAGTATTCTGTTAAACTCAATAATTATATTAATTATATTTTAGATTTTTTATATTTAAAATGATATTTATATCATGTATTTGATTATGTTTATCTGCATTTAGTTATACGAATTCAAACATAAAGCTTTAATAAGTTGCACTTACGCACAATCAACTTATAATTTTGAATTTTAATTAATATGCATCAATAAATAATATTTTATGCATAAAAATTATTTTTAAAAGTTTTTTGTCAAATGTTTTATAATATAGTATATATATAGTTGTTATCTTAGCATTCTAAGACAGAATGGTCTCGACTGAACAGGGTTAAAGGTGAGAAACGTAAAAAGAGATATAAATTTTTTATTACTTTTAATCTTATTTTCAAATCAACTATTTAAAAGTTCTAACTTTTTATGTAATTTATTTAATTTTTTTATTATTATTTAATTTAAGTTTAATAACGAAATAATTTATTTTTGGTTTAATAATATAACATTTTATAAATATAATAA